GCAAATTGATGGGTGGCTTAACATCAGCGAGCCCCCGCGGAGCTGAGCAGCAGCGATCCCGGGGTGCGGTGCCCAGCCCACCGCGCTCGCCACAACAGCCCGAACTAAAATAACACCCGAACACAAATTCCTACTTAATTCGCACCTGCTGCCCTCCTGTCCTTGTTTGTCCCACTGCTTCATGCAGATTATCATGCTTAATTTCATAATAGCCCTGAGCTAGTTTAAATACTTAATTTAGGTCACTTCTAGTCTCCTATGCAGGCTAAATGTGTGGCCTTGGACACAAATCCCTCCTGTCCACCTCCTGCGCATCGCTCCCAGCAACCCCCCAGCTTCTCCCTCGCAGAAAAATTTGATGGGAAGCATTTTCCAGTGACACAAAGGTAGCACTGAGGATCCTAAGCTCTGTTAAAGGGGAAAAAAAGAGTTATCAAAATGGTTTTGACTAGAAAAGCTCAGAACATTTTGGACTGTTAAAACATTTAATTTTTTTTAGTCCTAAATTACTTGGGGGAGATTTGTAATTTTTATTTGAAATTTTTAACCATTTAAATTTAACTGCTTAAAATCTAAATATGGTTCATTTACCCAGAAAAAATGTCCTCCACTTTTCAATTAGGTGCATTTTTCTTAATTGCATTTGCATTTCTCTGAAACTATTTCTCCTCCAACTCCTTCCACCTGCCTGCAAACCAAAGAGCTCATTATGGATTCAGCTCTCCGATTTGTTTCTTCTGGAGGGTATTTCCGAGCCACAAAATTCAAACCCAGCCTTCTGCTTACCCAAAACTCAAGGCTCTTTGATATCAAGCTACCTCCAGCTTTGTTAAATAAGGAGTCCTATCACACCATCAATCTTTCAACAGAAATCCCCACTGAGCTCTACCGTCTTTGCTGCCGACACCTCATAGACATATGTTCATATACACACACGTGTGCATACAGATGTACACACACTCTCTATACGTTTTTTTTATAGATAGCCCAAGGTGACCCAGGCTGGATGCTACGCCAAATAATTCAAACCCAGCTCCTTCTCAGAGCAGAAGTCTGCAATACTGGGGGGTAAAAGTTCACAGCGAGCACTGGTGGTTTTGAAGAGTCTTTTTTTATTTCCTTTCCGGCTGCCATTCTAACGAACCTCATGGGGGGGAAACCATGCCAGAGGAAGAGGCAAAATGAGGCTACTGAACTCAAAGGAAGAAAATAGAAGACTCTTTGACAGGACAGAAAATGAGGCACAATTAGGGAAGACTTATTGCCTGGAAAATGATAATGGACAGAAAATAACCATCTTTTTTTTTTTCCTAGTGACATCCGCAAGGACCATGCACCGGGGTGTTAAATGCCAGCATTTCAGTTTTGTTTTTACTTACTGCCAAAGGCTGAGCCTGCAGCTGCACCTGGAAAAAACAAGAAGAAGCCTGGTCACTGGAAGCAGGAAGCTGTTGGCTCTGATACCAGCAGAAGAAACACGACGCTGGGCTGAACAGCAGTTAATTAGTGGGGGTCTTGCTCACAGGCATATCAGTTTGCTGCAACATCTTAAAAGCTGCTTTTGTCAAACCACAGAGGTAACCAGACAGTGCTGGCTGGGGTCTTGGCATCTCCAGCTTTTCAACCTGGGGAAGAAAAGCCAGCGTGGTCCTTGCTGATGGGTTTTTCTGTTAACCATCTCCTTGACCTACCGTTAAAGCCCAGCAAAGGACAAGCACATCTTCTGAGGTTCACTCTGCTGAGCACAAACTCTAGGGTCCGAACCAGCTTGTTACAGCTAGGACAGTTCTCTGTGAGTCAGAAGGGTTGAACACCCTTCCCACTGCAGCACTTGCTGAACAGGACGCTGCAAAGCCACCAGCTTCAAACCCACCAGTTGAAGGCCATCCAAGGACCAACTTCTGGCTTTCAGCACGCGGGAGACTAATGGCCATGGTCCCCTCTACTGTAATAAGCCGATGAATCATGGAAAGTCTCAGCTTTGCATCAACATAAAGCACAGGACCACCAAGATGAGAGGACTTCAGAGAACTGCCTCTGTTGCAGAGGAAGAGGATGTTGATGGGGGAAAGAGGAAGCAACAGAGAGAGCTGGGCTCAGAAGGAGGAGGAAGACTGAGTGACAGATGGGAAGAGAGATGAATGGGAGAAGAAAGAGCAGAGGAGAAAGAGAAATAGGAAGAGAAAAAAGGAA